CCTCTTTATCTCTTTAATTTTACTGAATTCTGATTATTTTTAAAATAATACTTGCAGGTCAGTAACTCTCTCTTTAGCTATTAAATCTGTGCTTTAACCCATCTACTGACTTTCTATTTTCAGGTGTTTTATATTGCCGTTTTTCTAAAATGTTCTCTTTGTCCAGCTTGTAAATCCTCCTGGTTTTACTACAGGATGTATGCATTTGCCAGAGAGACAGAGTGAGGGAAAGTGAGAATCTTCCCTCCCCCCAGGGAAGATAGCCGCACCACGATCCCTCTTCTCCAGTCTCCTCTTGAGACTTTGGGCACACACGCACACACACCCAGAATAATTTTCAAGCCACTGGGTTCTGGACTCAAGCTGCAGTTGGCCATGTGGGATCCAGTGCCTCAACCTCCATGCTTGCCCCTTCCTGGTGACATTTTAAAAGTCTTTTTTTTGAGGAACCAACAGATGGCATCATGGTTATGTCACTAAACTCTCACATAGACCATGGTTTGAGTCCTGGACCCAGTGGCTCATGTTGGGCGTGTGTGCATGTATGCCCAAGATCCTAGGAGGAGGTGGAGAAGGGACTCTGGTGTAGCTATCCCCCCGGGAAGTGATTTCTCAATTTCTATCTGTCTCTATGGTGAGTACACATACCCTATAACAGAAATTTGTTGAAAACAAATGTCATTTTGTTTGTTCATTTGTAAATCTGTATCTTATTACATGAAGTTATTCAGATAATGCAGTATTCTATATCTGTGAATAGTATTTGCTAATTGAGGCAGTTCTGCTGTACCAACTCTCATTTGTGTTGATTTGTTTTCTTGTATTTTGAGAACTTTATCTCCGAAAGTTTATGCTTAATTTAAATTATAGCAATATTGAGGGCTTAAATTGAGACCTTTCCTTCAGAGAAGATTTGCTTTCCTTGTGTCCTAGAGCTTGGAGGACTGATGTAGGACTGCGTGAACAATTGCAGGGGTTTTGGCTTAGTGTACAAGTCTCAGGTGCAACCAACCCATCATGGGAAGCACCCAGTGCCCAGTCTCTGATTCCAGAAGTCTCAGCAGCACCTGCTCCCAGGGCAACCCTGCCTTGGGTATGTGCCTACCCTGTGATTTTTACTTTGTGTCATATTTACTTCTCTCCCTCCTGTTCTTCCTTCTGTGCATGTATGAGGGAACTTCACATAGTACTTTAAATAGAATTAAAGTCCACGTTTATTTTGGTACAAAAAGTTTTGAAATTCATGCATAGTTTTTCATAATACAAACTTTCCATGAATTTTTTAAAAAATTATATTTACCAGAGGGCTTGTATGCTTGCTACAGAAATATAGAGAAGGGGAGGGAGGAAGCACCCACCATGGGGCACGGTCACACTGCAGGCCCTTCTCTGCTACTTGTCCACGTCAGGACCGGGGTCACCGGGTATATTTTTCAAGCTATCGGGTCTGAGATTTGAACAGTGCTGTTGGCCGTATGAGATCTGACTCCCTTAGTCACCAGGTTGCAAGGCCAGTCCTCCATAAACGTTTTGAAGATTGAGTATGTGCGTGCATGCGTGTGCATACTTTCTTGCGACATTTTACTTCTTTGATGGTGAGAAATGCAGTGTAAGTTTTGCTTGTATTTATCTAGAAGCTTGCTTTACAGGAGCAGGAGTGCCTTGCAGAATACGAGCTGAAGCAGAAAAATTGATGTCTTTGGAGGATGCCCCACTTCCTTGTCTCCTTTTAGTTACGGTTAACTTGTGCCACAGTGCAGGCTGAGCCCTGGAACTACTCTATGCTATGGGGTATACTGGAACTCAGCATTTCACGTTCTACCTTAGAGCCTTTTTTACTGGACTGATCATCCTAATCATTGGCCAGAGGGATGTCTTCAATTATAGCACTACACAGATAAATGCCCTTTTTTTTTTTTTTCCTTTTCCTTTTTAAATTTGCGAGATAGTGCTGTTATGCACACATAAGAAGTAGGGAGCACCCTTCACAGGTCTGGTCATACTGCAATTCCCTTTCCATAGCCCTTGAGCTCACAGGATCTTGGGCCCACATGTACTCAGCATGCTTTCAGTTCAACTGGGGATCTCAACCTGTGGTTGGCTATATGGCTTCCAGCTTTACAATTCAGTACAGTGTCACCTGGGCCACCAAAGCTGGACCAGGTAAATTACCATTTTTTTTAAAAGAATTATTTACTTAATTTTGTTTATTCATTCATTTATTTTTAATATGAGCAGAAAGAGACACAGAGAGGGAGGGAAAGTGAGAAAGCAAGCTACCAGGCCTGGGACTCGAACCGCAGTCAGCCATGTGGGACTGTCCAGTGCCTCAACCGCCATGCCACCTACTGGTCCCATAAATTACCATTTTTCTAAAGAAACAAATGTGGGGCTGGCAGATGGTGTGATGGTTAAGGGTGCTGGACTCCCATATGGCTGACTGCAGTTTCAAGTCCAGGACCTGGTGGCTTGCTTTCTCACTTTCCCTCTCTCTCGTTCTCTCTTCCTTTGTCTCTCTCTGGTCAAATTCAAATAAATAAATGAATGAATAAATAAATAAAATTAAATAATTCTTTTAAAAATGAAACAAATTGGATTCTATGTTTAGTATTTCATTCCTCTAGACCTGTTTTGAACTAACATATATAATTTACATGATTTCTTAAAAGAATAAACATAACCATTTCATTTTAAATTCATTTTGCTTTTTCCACTTGGATATGATGTTCTCATCATTTGCTTCCTGAAAGTCAAGCTTGTGTCTTATTTCTCTTTTTATACCTGGTCACATCTACCACGTAATAAACTTTTCCTGGAATTGAATTACATTTTCCAGATGGCTTGACAGAGATCTGGGTATGGCATTTAGGGATGTTCCTTCGGATAGCCTTTGAATCTCCTGATAGGTCAGTCTTTAATTAGTAGAGCAAGTTATTTGATTCAGGTTATAGATTCAAATCATAGACTTCAGGATACTTTCTGAAAACTGATTGCTTGTCTTGGTTCTAATCATCGGTACCGCATCTCTTTCCACATTATTGTCGAGCAGCTGCTGTAATTACACGAGAGAGTCTCAGAAGGATGGAAAGGAGAGATAGCGCTGGGTTTTATTGGATGTTAATCAAGGCAGTCTTTGGTGTTTTTGCCTCATCTGGATAGGGACTGTTGAAAGCAGTGTGGAAGGCACTCAGCATTTCCCAGTGAATAAGAGGATCTTTGAATGTGACACGGTTCCTAAATTTTCTTTGAAAAACAACCTTTCAAAACAAATCAAAATTTCTTAGGGCAATTACAGAGCCTTTTGTATCAACAAATAGCAACAGGAAGCACTGCAGGATGTTATGATCTGTGCTCTGCCCAGGTGCATAAAGGCTTACCAATGGAGATACAGCCCCTGCTTCTTACTGATTTAGAGACTGCTCTGTTTTGAATCTTGCCTCGTGTTCTGACCCCCTTGATTGTACACCCCCAGACAATCTGATGGGACTCCTGTGGGCCACCTGCCTTAACCTCACAAATGAGAAAGAGGGAGAACTCACCTGCAGAATCTCATCTCTTTTTAGATGAAAATGATGAATAATCCATGATCGGTTGAAGTGTAATCCTGAGTGGGTGAAGAGCAAAAAGTATCTGGGGTGTTGGGGGTCATTATCCTGAGTGGGTGAAGAGCAAAAAGTATCTGGGATGTTGGGGGTCAAGCCCATGCTTCCCTGAGCTCAGCTTATAGGGGATGTCCTTTAAACTCGAAGAGGTTCTCTGCTAGCTCTCTACCAGGGACCTGTGAGGCAAGAATGACCAAAATACTACACATGTTTAAGAAGGTTCCTGAAAAAAATAATCTCCTCTAGACTTCTCAGTCCCAAATAAGAAAAGAAAGAAAAAGAAATCTGAGGGCTTTAGTAAATGAAGTTACTTAGAATATAAATCATTTTTACAAGCATAGGAATATATAAAATATAACTAGCAAGCAGGGTGTTTCTTTTGAGTGTATGGGTATGTTCCTGAAGAAACAGTGCCAGACCTGCCTGGGCTGCCCTCTGCATTTACTTCCTACTTTTTACTTTCTTTAGTGAACCATTCCTCAAACTCTATCTGGAAGCCCTATCGCAGGAGAGGACTCAGTGAACTCCTTCATCCATAAGCTTCATGGAGTTCCCCCCCGCCCCGAGTTGTTTTGTCCCCCTCCTGGTTTTTAACTGTGATAATCTTTAAAGCAATGGATTGCAGCTTCAACTGTGTAATAGTGTTTTCATGAACTTTAACAGACCCTCCTGTATATCTACTGAGTGGGGAAGTTACTACTGAAGAAGGGAGGGGAGTCTAGTGTGTTGTAGAGTCCTAAGTGTTCTCCTCTGATGTTGGCAGCATCCACAGCTGGTAGGCTCATGATAAAACAGATGAGACTCATGGTGGACTTTATCCAGCTTTCATGATGGAACTTTGCATACGGAGCAGAGAACCTGTGAAATTCTTCTCCGTATTGCTCCTTTCTAACTCAATGCCTTGCATAGGTTAGAAGCTCTGTAAAAGTTGGCTGTTGAAGGCCCACCAGTCCAGGACCTGCCAGTCTTGCCAGGGTATCTGGGAAGAATGGGACAGAGGCATACAGACAGGTACCCAGTGTGGAGGGCCTGAGAGGCTGAACACCAGCGCTATCTCACTCTTCTTTTGCCCTTGTTTCAGTCCTGCTTGATACTGTTTTCCCTTTTGTGAAACTGGGGACTTTCTTGTTTCTTAGTTTCGTTCTTCCTTACTCCTTCAGACATCCGCTTCTGCTCCACCACAGGCCCTCATCTTTGGTCCAAGAATCTGGGTGCTAGTGGCCTTGTGCTCAAATTTGTTGATCCTACTCCGCCTTGTTCCTCTCTGCCCTTGAGGAGACCATTGGAACAGGATTCTGAAGGGCAGTTCTTCTTCCTCCACGTCTCAAGATAAGCCTGTGCCTTTCTCTGTCTTGGATTTACTCAGGAATCAGATAGAAGCTTGGTTCCACCATGAGGCTCTTGCTGAGGACAGTATGCTGCTTTATTGACCCGTACCCTGCTATCTCATGGCAGATTTCCAGGTATGTTACATTTCTATTATTCTAGGAGAGAAAAAAAATATGAATTCTTTTTGATGGAAAAGGGAAAGGGAAAAGTTATATTCTAATTTTGACAACAGAGTGGTTTGGCTCCTGTCCTGTAGACATGCCATAATGAGTTTATGTAGGTGAACATCCATGGAGCAGTTAATCAAGCAGGGATGAAAGTTAGTCATCCATCTTAGGTTCCTGGCAAGCTCCATTTTATACCTGGAGATAAAGTTGAAGGTGCTTGTTCAAAACCAAAGTCCTCTGCATCTGACAGAGGGTGTTATGCCTGGACTCACTGGGTTATAGCAGAGCTGGACTAAGTAAGCCTCTGTCATTGGGAGGATCACTGAGGCATTCTTCTTCCC